GAAGTTGTAATGATTTTTAAAAGTAATTAAATTACTAATTAGAGTTTCCCAGTTGACCTTCCTGTTACTGCTGTGTGATTAGCTTGGCTGTTGACAAACACATGGTTCCTTGGGGAGATTCTTGAGTAAGTCTATTTTATCTATGTATTTTTTTTGCCCATATGGCAGATTGATTCCTTTTTCCTCTTACAGTAGTATGCCATAGTTTCCTGCAGTAGAAAGAAGGCAGTTTTGGAGCACAGGCACTATAACTCAAGGAAGAAGTCAAAAGGAAGGTGGTGTGGTTTGGGGTAATGTTTGAGAAATGCTGAGGCCCCTTATGTTTTAAAAGCAAATGCATTGGTGAAGATGTGGGAAGTACAATGGATTTTCATTTTATTCATTGGAGAAGGTCATTGTCCATAGGTTATACTGTCTTGAGAACACAGTGGTGTGACTAGTTTTGGAGATGTTAATTGTAAATATGCTTTTTAAGTAGTATTATGTTAAAATAAATAAAGTAATTAGATCAATTTGTTGTTTGTTGAACTTCCAAAATATCATAACAGCTTTTTAAAGATGAATTTTTTAGCACAACTTTGAAAAAATTAATTTCTTAATGAAAACTTGAGATGCTAGACCACAGAGCTCAGCTGCCTGTATCCTGCAGGTGTGCATGTACTACAGAGGACATTGTGTGAACAAGTTGCCAACCTTGTAAACCTCCTTCCTATTTACAGACATTGAGGCCTCATTATGTCAGTAAGAAGACAGACATGGTTTGTTTGAGGTTCACAAAATTTAAACACACCTCATCATCAGTGTGGGCTTTACCTCTGACACGTGGCCATGTTTGCAGTCTGTGCTGTTTTACAGCCATCCCATTCTAGTCCTTTGCTTCCTCATCTGGATGCCCTGTTAGTATAATTTTGGGGAACCTTTGCTCCCTCATTTTTCTGCCAAGCTCTCCCAAGCTATATTCAGCTTGAGATCAAAACAAGACTACCAAATGTCTGTTTTTCCTTTTCCCCATTATTTTTCTCATAGATTCTGTTGTAATGAGAGAGCGGCATCAGATAAACTAATATGAGGATTTTTTTGTCAATGTTTGTTTTTCATTTTTCTTCTTCAATGTCCATAAACAAACTGATTTTGGGGTTTTTTTGCCTGATACCCAAGGCAGTCTTACCTGTTCCTTCAGAAAAACAAAATTCTCATTTGTTTGCTGTCATCTTCTATCTCAAGACTCACCTCCCATTTTCCCTGCTTCCAGTTCAGCAGTTTTTTGTTTCATCAGGCTGTTTTTCTACATAGTGCACCATACCAGCTACTAGTCTGGTGCTACCCCGTGTTCCTAGCCTGTGTCCACTTGTGCATCATGTTCATTTTACAGCTATTGCATTATCTTTACCTTTACCTGGACAGTGATGGGATTCTTAGTACTCCATTTGTTGTACTTTAAAATAAAGCCTTTGGGTTTTCTGTTTTGCTGCTCTGTGTGCTGCAGGGAAGGTGGGTCTATCATATCATCTTCCCTAACAAAAGAGAGGTAAGGGCCTTGCTTGACAGAGGAATTTCACACAAAGGCAGAAAAACAAAGTAATAAATAGCAAAATGCTGTTAACAATCTGTTACAGGTAAGGTTTGTAGATTGAGATTATGGCTCTTATTTTCATCATTGAAACTTGTAAATAATATGCACATTTTCTTGTTTATCTTATTTATAAACTCAGTTTTGCAACTCCATTTTTTCCTACTACTTTGCATTTTTATATAGGCAGTTTTTAAAATCAGGTACTGAGTAAAACATTTTTCTAGTAGTTTAACTGCTAGTTTCTCACATCTGTACTTTTTCCAAGAGATCTTATCTCTTGCCCAAAGCCTTATTCCTAACATTCCCACCAGTTCTGGCTTGCTATGTCTGCATGCAGCTCTGCAGACTGGAATTGAATTCCCTGCAGTGCTCAGTGTGATTTGTAGCAGACCATCACTACAGAGCAGGCTGGAGGCTGGCATAATAGATTGTTCAGGGTACATCCCACATGGATATTGAGACAAAGTTAAAAACTAAGGCTCTTCCATCCGAGTGGTGTCACTCTGCCTTTTCCTTCCCTTCTTCTTGAGTCTCCCTCATCCCTGAGGGAGTATCCCTGTCGTGTCTCTAGCTAGGCTGTTGGTCAGAGTGTGATCTGGTTTAGGTTGATGGCTGAAGCTGACATAGAAACTCTGATCAAGAGATTCACAAAAAGAGCTCAGTGTCTTGTTGCCTTGAAGAATCTCTCATTTGTACTAAGATGTGGACATTACTGCCAGTTTGGTCTTCTGTGTGTAAAAAAAAAATCTTAAAGCTATCACTTTCTTGTGGACTGTGTCTGTCTAAATGGGAATTCCTCTAAATGTAAAATTGGAAATTTAAACTTAAAAATCCATGCCTTTAATGGAATATACAACTACTGTTCATTCATTCCATGAGGAGAGTCAAGCAACCCAGTGAGGAGGAAAGAAGGGTAAATGGTTGCCTCTAGTGGGAAATCACCAGCTCAGTAAGAGAGGCTTTTTATCCAAGCAAGCAACCACCTGTGCCAGACACAGATCTCTTGTCCTCCTGTTGCCTGAGTGAACTGCAGCATGGCTGCTGACACAGGCATGATGGAAGAAGGAGACTTGAAGAAAACTCTGGCAGAGCATTGAAGGGACCATGGGTTAAAGGCTTTAGTGGGCTGAGAAGAGAATGAAGGTGAAGCTATAGAGTCAGTTTTGTAGGGGTGGGAATACACTGAATTAATTGGGTTTGAATGAATAAAGAACATTTTTTTTTGTGAAAAGGAATGGGAAGATGTGAAGAAATGAAGCTGTTGTCAAAGAAAAATATAACTAATATATAAGCTGTTTTTTATTGTTGCTAATTCACCTTACACTTGCTTTTTCAAATAAGCTTCTTCCTTAAGACCAAAACAAACTGTTCATTTTACTTTTTATTTTTGTGTTCTAAATGCAAGATCTTCATGGTCATGCAGCTTTTCCCCTGACTTAACAGTGTGGGGATTTTTGTTGCTTTTTAAACCCATGGACACTAGATGCAGAAGGATGTGAGAAGAGATTATTTACATGGTCATGGAGGCTTTTTTTCTTGATATAAGGAAGAAAGTTGAACTTTTAGTGAATGAATGCAACATATCTGTTGAGAAGGCTGAGGCAAGTAGACTTTTTGTTGGTCTGTGTGGTGACATCTTCCTACTTCTACCCTTTTTATTCAATATTTTCCTTGTAAATTAGAACAGAGTAGTTAAGCTGTTCTCTAATATTTGCTCATCTGAACAGCCTGCATCTCATTCCGTCAGGTGTGCAAGTAAGGATTTATGGAAGACAAGGGCTATGGGATCTCTTCCTTGATTGCCTGGTACTGGTATAGATTAGTGTGGAGTGTTTCCATTTAACAGAGCAGCCTGAGCCTGTTCTCCCATCATGGCCAGCATCAGGATCTGTTGCTGAGGTAATTCTACTTGTACCCAGCGAGTTCACTGATCAGCTTTGGAGAGTAACAGTTAATGAGAGAGGAGGGAACTTCTGGTAACCACTATTTGAAAGGCTATTCATAAGTTTATGTAAAAATGGTTTTGATATTTGACTATGAATAACCTTTTAAACCTGTATTCCATGTGCGTTGGTGTAGGAGCTTTGTTGCTAAAATCTTGGTTTACAGTAAGTTTAAACAAAAGATGAAGTTTAAGGTGTTCATGATGACAAAGAACCCCCACAACTTTCTGTATATCAGTTAAGGAATTGTTTATTGTTTACCCTGTTTCTTATGTTTTTCAGTACAAGAAACATCTTGAATTTTTTTCCTATGTAAGAAATAAGTTTTAACTTTGGTGATGTTCAAGTAACATTCTTTTCATGGTTGATTTCTCATGCGTATCTTTAATATTACAGGTTAGGCATGCAAATACTCTGAAAATTGATCCAGGAAGAATTAAGAAACTCTTTTTATCTGTTAATATTTTTATTTTTAAAGCATGTATTGTTTTTTTGGGGGGGAGTAGGATTTTTTTTAAGTGATGCTGCTTATCTGATAATTTCAATCCTAGTTGAATTATGTTGCCAGATTGTCATCAGAAGGGCATGAAGTCAGCACACATGCGTCAGTAATATCTGGTTGTTTTAACCTTATGTTTCCAGTTGGCAATTTGAAATTATGGCTTCAACTGCACTTTAAATATGTGATAATAGCATGTGTTTCTAATAAGGGCCAGCACCATTTTGTTCAGATACTGTGAATGGTTGTCACTCATATATGACAAATGCACCTTCATCTGCTTCTTTGATGGCCCCCTAAAAACCATACCCTCAAATCAGGCCGATGAAATTAGCTGCTGTGTAAATTGTGTGTCTGAGTGGTTCATTATCTAATCACCGTCAGAACCACAGTGATAAAGTAGATTGAAACAGGGACGAGGTCTGCCAGATGATTTCAGGCCTTTTTTTCTAAGCCCTGTTTCCCTTGGAAACACTAAGAGTCATTCAGAACTTCAGAATTCTTTGTCTAGAACTTCTTCATTTCTTAATGCATAAAATTGGGCAGCCAGTGAGGTCTGCCAAGGTGATTTGAAAGGTTTTCTCTCCATCATTCTTGTAATCATTACTGTGTATTAAAATGTTCCACGATGTTCAGTTTAGCTGCTGTGTTTGCTACTTCTGGGTTAGATATTGTAAAACACACCAGCCATTTTCAGGAAACTGCTCCAGCCTATTTCTTTGTAGGAGAAACTCTTAAATGCTCTAAGTCCTGCCCTGAAATGGCTAAGTGCTGTGCTTTGAATATACAGAGAGGGAGCTTTGGATCCTGGAGTTGATGTGGTAAATTAACATACTAAACCAGTATGAGATAAAACATTGCACAGGACACTTGTACATGGGTGGCTTTTCAATTTCAAACTTTCTTGACTCATTATAGCATGTTCTAAATACATATTTCTTGTCTTTTTAGCTTAATAGGTAATTTAAATGTTGTTTTGTTTTAGGAGCATTTGAAGATGATGATATCACTCATGTTGAAGGAAGTGTAGATCCTGTTCGTGACATCGAAATTATACATGAAGAACTTAGACTGAAGGATGAGGAGTTGATCATGCAGAGCATAGATAAGCTTGAAAAAGTAGCTGTAAGAGGAGGAGACAAGAAATTAAAACCTGAATATGTAAGTACATGACCTATAAAAGTAAATCATTAAGTCTTGTCAGCATTAAATTGAAATATTTGTATTGTTGGGTTTTCTTATTGATCCCACATATGTAATACAAAACTCTACTACTATTTTTATATGTATTTTAAAGTAATTATTATGAGTTGAAAAAATACTAGAATGACTGGCTGTGCTGTCAGTTTAAGATTTCATAGATGTAGCTAATTGTAACTTTTGAAATTCAGCTGTTATTTTCTTGCTGATACAGCTTTGTATGCGAATTGCCAATCCTTTGTCAAATTTACATCAATGTCTAAGTTGTAATTCAGAGTTACTTCTGACTTATTCCTGCTGTTAAGTTCTAGTATTATGTTGATATTAGTATTCCTGTAGCCAGCAAGTGAATGTATTTTTTTTTGTGATTGCACTTTGTGTCTTTTAGTGCATGTTAAATTAAGACTGCTAGTTGAAATTAATTTTAGAATGTTGTTGTGGAAATCTGCTTAAATGAGCTCAATTATCACAGGGTAGTAGTGATGTTTCTTTGTAAATTAGTAATGTATAATAATTATCAACTTCCAAGTATATTTTTTGCAAATTGTTGCTTTACTGCTACTTGTCTTTTGAGTCCCCTATACTTTGCCAATAGTCATTCATTTTTCTTTGTCATTAGTATTCTATAAATATTTCAGGTGGTATATAAAATGCATTTTCTAATTATTACAACAGTTTATCGGAGTGGAAATAGATTATTTATGTCTAGCAAGTAATATTAAGAAGATACTGTTTTCTCAGATGGATTTTTTGATAGCAAGTAGTAAGAAAAACATTGTTATATTGGTGCTGCCAGGTTAATTTATCAATATTGAAGTGCACTGAAATTTGTTGACCCTGCCTAGTGTCTGGAAACAGACAGGAGCTGAAAGTGAGCATCCCCCTCCAAAATATTCTGCTCCATGATCCAGTGTTAAAAAGCACTTCTGTGGTAGCTTCTGTTGGTGAAGAACTAGTCTTCATCTGGCATGAAAACTGTTTTATTTCTTGATTCGTCTAGGCCAGAAAAAATAGCTATTGTTGGAAGATGTAAAGGCTTTATGTAAGCCCAGATAGAGAAAACCTTCATTTAAGAACCTTCATTTCAGGTCTTATCTGTCATGTGAACCCAGCCCTGAGTACATGTGGGCAGCGATTTTTATCTTTCACAAAAGGTTTCACGTGCTTAGACGAACAGTGCAGTTTATGCCTGCAGTTTCAAATAGCATCCACACAGTATTTCACCTTTTAATTCATGTTCAAGAAAGGGGCAAGCAAAAATCCTGTCCGTAGCGAATTCAAAGTTCATCCTAAAGCTAAATTTCACATTGGTATGACAGGATGAAAATGAGGAGTGCTGTGATGCTGTTCTGCCCAGCCTCGAGCTCTTCTCACTCACTTTGTTGTGTGGCTGTCTTTGGAAACAGCTTTTCTCAGCTCCTTGTGATGGAACATTTCTATCTAGTTTTTGAGTGTACCTCTGTGGATGCTTTGAGTATTTTATATCACCATGTATGTTCTTCGTGTGTGAAGGAAGAAGTTGGCACTTTTGTGATTACAAAGAATCATAACTGAAGTGTGTTTTAAGTAGAATCTGTAATAGTGATCGTGTAACTTAATGGGTGGTAGGTACAGTTATGATTGTATGGCAGGAGTTGTTCTTTGTAATTTTTTGACTACAGGAAGTTGGTATGTCTTTGGAAACAGAAAATATCAGATTATCCTCAAAATAAGGGAGACAGTAAATAAAAAACCTCAAATCTAGAAATGCAATTTAGATTAATTAAAGAAAAATTTCAAATCTTTATTATTAATCTTTTTTTACCCAGCTTCAGTTTCTCATCCATTTCATTGCCTCTTCCTTCAGTCTCCTTACCATTACTTCATCTGTAGTTCACCTGTCAAAATGACTTAGTCACCTTGTATTTGTAACATACACTTCCTGTCATTTGTTGTGTTTCCTTAATCCTGTTTTTATGAACACATGCACAGAAAAGATCAGGTTCTTGACGTCATGTTGCTCTGCCCGTTCTGTTCCCAATAATAGCTGTTACACATGACCAGTCTCAGCTGAGTTTGTCAACAACAATAGAGGTTTCAAAGGCTTGAAATTCCTTTGTTTCATGGGAAGGGGTGGCTGAACAGAGTGGGGAGGCACAAATTAATGCTTCCCTTGAGACAAAGGCTGCATGGAGGAACTATAGTCACTAGGGAATCTCTTCAAGGAAATGGAGGGCATAATGCCTCTGAATCTTGCTGATCTTGGACCTTCTTGCCTCTCTTCCCTGTGACTTGCATGCTTGAATTGTTATGTATATACACTAGACTTCATAAATTGGACTTTTTTGGTGAAGGCCTGTGAAAGCTCCTTTCTTCTCCTGGTAAATCAATCCTTAGGTCCAGTTATGCAGCTTCCAGAAGCAGGTTTGTGTAGCTGTAAGACTGTAACAGCGGCTCTTGGGCATTTCTGGCCACTACTGGGCTTCAGATGTACATCCACTGGGTTGGGAGGCACTCCTGTACAGTTTGCTTTGCCTCTTTTCCTTTCATGTTTTGGCTTGCACACAAGGCCTGTGATGGCATTATATATAACATACTATAGTACACTATAGCAGGATTGACTATGCAGTAAATGATTTACAGGTCTAGGAGGGAAACCATGTGGGATTAGTGAAAAAAGCAGTTAAAGATTATTCCATCTTCCTAAAGGGGTAGCCAGATGTTAGGAGTATATTTTGGCAGTTTGGTCAGTCTGCACTTCCCCAGTCCATTGCACTCTGCATTTAGCTTGTCTGTCACAGGGAGAGTTCCCTGTCCAGCACAATTTGTAATGTTTCCATGCACTTGCAGCTACTGTTCAAGGCTTGCTTTTTCTAGTGCAAAAGAAAAAAAATTATGAAGAGACAGTATGGCCTGAAATGAATACTTTTTTCCAAACAGGTTGTCCTCAAAAAAATAGAGGATGGGACAGGACTGGGAGACAACTCCTCAAGATTTGCCTTTTAAAATTATTTGCCAGTATAATACACAGCCATTGCTAATATTCTATTCCTAGGAATATTCTTCTGTAGCAGAGATGTGGAACAAACAGCTCTTGTCTGTGCACCAAGTGTTCCCAGTCATTTTTCCTTTCAGGAAAACCGGGAGGTTATGAAGGAAAAGACTTGATATTCATAGATTGTTTTGGTTTTGTTTTTAAGCACTATGTTAAAATTTTAGTATCTCTCTTTTTTATTGTTTTCTTTCCCCCATTCCTTTTGGAACAATTCAAGGTGAAGATGCTTGAGAATGTCTCAAGAATTTCAACTGGTTGAGAGTTATAGAAGTCATTTGTCTCGTTTTATAAATATGAATTGTCTGCTTTAGAAGATTTGCTTTATCAATAAGCCAGCACGGTTGTAACTTGGTAGTCTGAAATCTCCAAAAGGTTTAGCAGGAGAAAAAAAAATTGACCCTATTTATCAGTCAGCAAGACTTAAATCTGAGATTTGTACTTGATTGCCTGCATTTTGCATGGTGTTATAACTTGTTAATTATCATTTTTCCTCTGTGAAAGCCTACATTGCCTACAGGTGGTAAATTTACCTTTGTGCAGTGACCTGGCTTGGCAGTTAAATAGTGTTAACTGTTTGTCCTGTTTCTCAGAGAATTGATTCCCTGTCAGCAGAAATAAAATAGCTGACTGTTGTTAAGGAGCTATCAATAAAATAATTTTCAAGTTCTACTTAAAAATCAGTGGCACAATATGATCCAAGATCACCAACACGTAATGTTGACATAAGCTTGGAATAGCTTCCTTTACACGTGTATTGTCTGTTTTGCAAGTATTCCCACTGCCTTCTCAGAAATGACTGTTTACTGTTATTAAGGGTACTAGTCTTTCAGACTTTATATACCTTTAAATAACCTTCTAAAGAGATATTATAGAATAAAAATACTCCTGTTATTTGCATGTTTTAAAACAGTGCAGATATAATTTCAGAAAGCAGTCAGAGTACTTTTATGTTTAAAATCTGTCTGATGATGGTATATGCAGAGACATTAGATAGATACTGAGTTAAACTTTATTATTAGCTTATTATTGATCTGTCATTTTGAATAGCAGAGGATTTCCAAGTAAAATTCAGATATGTATGACTTTATAAATTAGAATGTACAAATGATAAAATTAATCTTAAAAAATATTTTTTAATTGGTGGGATTTTTCAGTCCTGGAGACAAGTCTCTAAGTTAATACCATCTAATACAGTGAAGTGAACATTATTTCAGGATTCTCTTCCAATGTCCTTCCAGCCTGATTCAGTTCTAGTCCTTAGAAATTGACAGCTCTGCAACAAATAGCTATTCCTTGAGCCCTTTGTCGGTGCCCAAAATCTTGAATTCCAGCACAGAAGAATTCTTATGTTAACAGTATTGAGAGCTACGTATCTCACTACGAGGCTGTTGTTTATAGTTGAACTGATGCAGATTATTGATGTTACTGACATGAAGACACAATCTTTCGGTCAGAATCAGTGTGCACAGTGTTTGACCTTCCAATTCTCTGTTGAAAGGCGGCTTCTGCAGTAGATCAGGATCAGCATTCACTGGATTTGAACTTCCAGTGTTGGGTTGAATGGGGTGCTTTCACCAGTCTCCATTGTAAAGTCTGTCATTTTAAAAGTAAGATTAATTTATCAAATCAAGCACATTTTTTAACAGGAAAAGCAATTGCAGTTATGGAAAGAGCAGTTAGAGACTCCATTTTTGTATAATGGTATGAGAACCACCATAGTGCCTATTCAGCTTAAAAGAAAGGCATCAAGCTTTGTTTTGTTACTGTGATGGACAATGATCTAATAATGAACACTTACACTCAGCCTATGGCCATTGTATTTGTCAGCATATATGTACTATGAAGAGTAAAGCAAAATATTCCTAATGGTGGTTTAAGTAGCTTTAATCCCTTCCATTCTCCTCCCTTACATTTAATGTCTTGGTCC